TTTCTTTTTAGATTTACATATTTCCCCGAGGGGCTATTTTTTTTTTTAAGGGACGAGGACAGTACTACTCATGCTGTACCGTAATAATGGTACATTTCAAAAAATTAACCTCACTCCTAAGGTCGTTGTTCCAGTCATCTTGATTCAAGGAACTGGAGCTACTACCATCCTCAAACCTGAATACTATATATCCCCTCCCATGTAGGTGCTGCATGATGCTTCTGATTCGTTCTTTAGGTTAGGTCACGTTCGTCAGGAAACTGGACAACTCTTTCCTGACGCGAGTCTGAGTCATATGATGACCCGCAGTTGGAGCTTTTGGTCATCTGACCGAGGCCTTCCACTAGCTTACCTTTCCACCCCTTTAAAAAAATATGGTTATAATTATAACCGGTTTAGAAAGACACGTAAGCAAACACTATAACATATTTATTAGAAAACGTTTCGGTCCTAGGACCTTGATCACTTCTAACATACAGAGGTAGAAAGACATTATATATATAGGCGGAGAGTGAGGTGTGACGCACGTGACCTGAGGAATGTCATAAGAACATAAGAATGGAGGAACACTGTAGAAGGCCTACTGGCCCATGCGAGGCAGGTCCTTATCAAAACAACCTCTACCTATGATGAGGACGGGTAGACGATGAAATCATGTGACTCCTGTGTTGTTGGGTTGGTGTTGCTTAAGTATCATGTATGCCAATGTTTTTGAAATTTTGTAGTTTCCAGTGTTGCGTTCTATAGTGTCGGTGACGGCGATTAGTGAGGCTTCTAGGCACCGTCGGCGTCTGAGGTCTGGTTCGGTGAGAACGAGTTGTGCCTCGTTCCAGTTCATCAAATGCCCCGTGGAGTCTCTGTGGAGGACACAGGCGTACCTTACATCGTCTCTGTTAGAGGCATTTCGATGCTCATTCAGGCGGACTGGAAGATCTCTGCCTGTCTCGCCTACATATTTCCTGGGACAGAACCCACAGGGGATAGTGTAGACGCCTGCTATAGAAGTTCTTATGTTCTTATGACATTCCTCAGGTCACGTGCGTCACATCTCACTCTCCGCCTATATATATAATGTCTTTCTACCTCTGTATGTTAGAAGTGATCAAGGTCCCAGGACCGAAACGTTTTCTAATAAATATGTTATAGTGTTTGCTTACGTGTCTTTCTAAACCAACTTGTCGGTATTTATTACCAAGGTTTGTACCATAATTATAACCATTTAGTATTCACTTGTTATCATACACTGCAGCAGGTACAGGACAGGTACAGAACAGGTACAGGACAGGTATAGGGCAGGTACAGGACAGGTACAGAACAGGTACAGGACAGGTACAGGGCAGGTACAGGACAGGTACTGGCAGGATGTAAGTGACCCGAGTCTCCTCCACAGTGGGAGTTTACACTGCAGTCTCATCCTCTCCCATATTAATCAAGATTTTCTAAGCGATATATATATTAGATTACATTATTGAATTACATTATTGAACGTGGGAAAAACTGCCTCTCTACAACGCTTAGAAAATTTTGATAATTTTTGTCTCGGTCTTGTGATGGTAGAGTTAATATCTCCTTGTAAATTTAATTACAGCTGTGTATTCACCTAATTGTGATTGTGGGGGTCGATTCATAGCTCCTGGCCCCTTGTTTGTGTGTGTTTATCCTGCCAGGTCCTTGCTACGTCAAGACTACGATCATCAACAACAAAAACAACAAACAAAAAGCAAAAACAACGAAAAACAAAAACAGCAAATAACAAAAGTAACAAAGACGAAAACAACAACAAAAAAAGACAAAACAAACAACAGAAACGACAAACAAAAACAACAGCTAAAACAAGAAACAAAACAACAAAGACAAACCAAAAACAACAACGACAATAACAACAACAACAAAAACAACAACAACAACAACAACAACAACAAATCCCCTCCCCCTACCGAAACCCATCCCCCCACCCACATCCTCTCCCCCCCACACCTTACAAGATGGCTCGGAGCTGGTGGTGGTACCGCAGGTGGTCACAGGTGTGGTCGCAGGTGCCTGACAAGTGGTTCAGGAGGTGGAAATTGAGCATGTGATTCCCACAGGTGGGGTTAACCACCTTGATTAACCTGTAGGGAGGAGAGGGCGGGAAGAGGGCGGGGAGAGAGAGGGAGAGAGGGGGGGAAAGGAGGGTGTGGAAACACCTGCTGTGTGTTGCTACACTATTCTATATGATAGTTACATTGTTACACACACACACACACACACACACACACACACACACACACACATCCGCCTCAGTACACAATCTCTTCATCTCAACCCGACCTGTGGCAGCACAGAGCGGGGCCAAGGAGCAACCAGGAGCACACAGGAGCACACAGGAGCACCCAGCAACACAAAAAAACATTCAGGAGCATCCAGGAACACCCAGGAGCACTCAGGAGTACACAGGAACACCCAGGAACGTCTGCTGCCCCTGGCAGCCTCCTTCCTTTAAGCAGGGGTGCAGCAAAGGCCTGGTGACACCTAGAACCTTCTAGCACCTAGTACCTGGTTGCACCTAAGACCTGGAACCTATATAGGTACTGGTGGCATGA